TAGTCTGTTTGAAGGTTTTATATTAGTTACTATATCTAAAATCTATCTGTAAATTCTCTATTTAAATATTCTAATTCTATATCTACTATGTCGTACTAATGATTTTAGTAAATTAGTAAAAATATGTTATAGTCTCTAAGTTATATTTAACTTTGTACAAAACTCATCAAAGTTTTCTGTATCTTATATTTACAGCTAACCTGATATCAGTTTGGCTTAAACCATTACTTGCAATTAGGGTTAACTATTAAATTATTAACTTTTGTAAGGTTCATTTAAACTCTAGTACTTATCTTTCTAATATCTTTTCTATTATCTCCTACTAATCATTTCTAAGAATTGACAAGACTCTTCAGACTTCTAATCCAAATGGTCTAGTATAGTATATCTTAGTATCTTTTGCTTAAGAATTCCATTAGCCTGATTGGTTATATGCTTCTTTATACATTTTATTATCTAGTTTATTTGCCTATTCTTACTAAAGATGTTTTATAAGATTTTATTAATCTAATAGCATTATCAAAAATTTGTACTATCTTCTTATTTGAGATTTCCAAATAGGTTTCTGAATTCATAGTTCCTTCATTTTCTGCATTTAGTAGTCTTATTATAAGTTTGTACTGAAGTCTTATACAATATTATTTAAACATTCCTCTATATATATGCAATAATATATTTTATATAGATGCTTTAAGCTTTTATTCAAGATGGTGTAACTAAAGGTTACAGATATATCCAATTCAACTAATTGATAGAGTCAGTTATCATAATACAGATATAATTTTTAAAATTCATTTATTTATAAAATTTGAACTCTAGATCTGTTACTTGGAAGTTGTTAACCTGATTACTTTATTAGATTGTCATATTTCTATTAATCAGTATTATTTTTTTTCAGTATTAAGGTAACCTTTTTTGGTTCTAACTTTTTATTAATACTTATATTAGGCACATATATATATAGATGTATCTATATTGAATTGTTAGATAATTGTACAACTAGTTATATATATAGCTTTTCTATATTACCTATTTAAAGAGTCTGTCTAAAGGTTTTTTACTAATTATTGTATCTAATACCTTTGTTTAGATGTTTTATTTAAACTCTCTAATCTGGTTCTGATATTAAATTTACCAAGTCATTAACTCAAATCTGTTTGATATCAACCTTTAGAACTATAATTCTTAAACTATTTTTATTCTTAAAATAAATCTATCAAAATGAGTCATATTTTTAGTTTACTACTAATCTAGTTTGACACTATGGTCAAGACTAACATTTGCAGTCAGAGTTATTCATTAAACTGCTATTATTTTTGTAAAGTTTATTCAAACTCTAATATCCATCTTTCTAATATCTTCTTTATTATCTTCTATTAGCTATAACTTAGAACCAACTTACATTTTAGACTTTCAATTCAGATAGTCCAATATTGGTATACTTATATATTCTTTTCTTTTTAGTAATTCTAGTAGCTAGTTGGTACATATGCTTTCTTCATATATCTGTTATCTAATTTATCTGACAATTCTTATAAAATGTTTTATAAGCTTCCATTGGTCCAATAATATTATTAAAAATTTGTGATATCTTTTTATTTAGGATTTCTAAGTAGGTTTCTGTCTTCTCAGTTTCTTAGCCTTTTATGTCTGGTAGTCTTATTATGTATTTGTATCAAAGCCTTATACAATATTAATTTTTTACATTTTTCAATATATATATAATATTATACAGTCGACTCTCTTTAAACTGAACCTGTTTATACTAAAATCAGGTTATAATAAATCAGATTTAGCAGAACAGATTTTTCTATAATAATTTAAGCTGATTATACCAAACTAAAATATTAAATTTCTTTATATCGCATCTGAACTCTTTTTTATCAGCTGGAAACTATGTGTACATATTTCTATATAACGAACTATCATGTGACTCATATATTAAAATCACATGATCGATTTATTAATTTATTACAAAATTGACATAAAAAATTAAAGCTACTTTTTTACAATACTGTAAATAAAAATTTAACTAAAAAATCATTTTTTGTGACTTAGTAAAGGATCCCGTATTATTTTACCAACAATCACTTTACCAATAGCTCATTTAGCCAACATCACGCTAGGCAAAATTTAATAAAAAGATAATATCATCTAATCCTATGTAATGTTGGCTAAATAAACTTTTGGTGAGATAATCAAAACCATATTGCAAATTAAGTATTGTGCTGTTGCCATATCATATATCATATCAATAAGCAAAAATATCTAAAAGTATGTAAATCAAGAAACTTACCCATTGTATTTTAAGAACAATCTGTAATATAAAGGAATAGTGAAAAAATCTCTAAAAGCCCCAAAACAGAATAGTTAGTTAAGTAAAAGTAACATAAAAATAATAACAAAAATATGTAATAGGACTTATCTTTTATGATCCTCAAAAGTTGAGTCAAAAGTTCCCACAATTCATATTCACCAAACTAAATAGAATGCATTGAGATTTATTTATTGTGTTGCTTTTCTTGATGTCTTGATACATTTATTGTTCTAATCTGTCTCTTTAAAACAATAATTGCAATTGAAAAAAAGAATTCCAAAAAGATAGTGCTAGCTATATCAGAAAAAAAAATTGTAATAAGGGCGCTGACAGATAAGAGCTCAATATAGTATCCCTTTCCAACGGTCCTTTAGGACAATGACAAGTTCTAAAATAATCAATATATATTATTTAATATTTTAGAACTCATTATTGTTCTGAAGGGCTGTTGGGAAGAAATGCTATATTGAGCTCTTATCTGTCAGCACCCTGATTATTATTTCTATTATTATAATTTTTATTTACATATTATAACATAATAAGATTATAGATGAGTGGTGAAATTCAAAAAATAAAATAAAATAAAACAATAACTAAGATCAGATTAGCCTCACTATAATAGTGCGAGTTAACAATAAAAATTTTAACATTACTACCTTCCCAGGATAATAGCTGATTTCACAGACATAAATGTCTATAAAATCATATAATTAACTATTGAAATGTGCTATTCAGTACATTGCATTTTTACTTTTGGCTAGTGTAGTAATTAATCCTGACTTGATAATTCTGCTTTTTTTTTTTTGAATAATAAAAGTAAGGATACAATGTGACCACTCTATTTCCAGTGTATAGTGTAAGTTGTTTAACTAGAAATGGCTTTGCATGTTGCATTATTCATATGCATGTGTATAATTATACAGTATGCCATATTAAAATAATAATGTTATCTGTATAAGTTCATTAATTTGGTAATTAGATTATTAGAAATTCTTTGTTGTATTTTATATAAGTATCTGGTAATTACTAGTTATTTGTACTTTACCTTAGCATTATGTCAACAAAAAAACAGGTAATTCTTTCTGCAGCACAAAAACATAATATTTGTTAAGCAAAAGAAATGGATTCAAATATTAAAAATATAGATCTTGCAAGTAAATATCAGGTTGGAAAGTCAACAATAACAGATATTCTGAAGAAAAAAGAATGTTGGTTAGCTATTACAATTGAAGAGGAAGGTAAGATAAAAAAATTTCGCAGGCCAAAGTGGCCAAAGATTGAGGAAGCTCTTGGACTTTGGGTAGATAATGTGCTTAATAGTGGTCAAGATATTGATGGTCATATTCTTAAGAACAAAGCAAAGTTTTTTGCAGACCATTTTCTTATTGATGATTTTCACTATTCTGATGGTTGGCTTACTGGTTTCAAAAAATGTCACGGGCTTCACTAATTTAAAAAAGAGGGTGAATCAGCAAGTGCCCCTCTTATGGAACAAATAAAAAATGACTGACTTGCCTTACAAGAATTGCTCCAATCCTATGACCTTGAAGACATTTGGAATGCTGATGAAACTGGACTTTACTGGAAAATGAGACCTTTCCGTACTTTGGCTCGTTCAAGATTAGCAGGGTACAAAAAAAAAAAGTTGCATGTATCAATATTATGTGCTGCAAATGCAAGTGGAACTAAAAAAATGAAACTTGCCTTTATTCATACTTATAAAACACTGCATTCCTTATGAAGTCTTAACTATGCTAACCTTCCTGTTTACTATTACTGAAACAAAAAGGCTTGGATGCAAGTTAATATTTTTAATGATCTTCTCCTTAAGCTTAATTATCGAATGAAACTAAGAAATCAAAAAATTATACTTTTAATTGATAATGCCCTAATATATATTATTCTTGATAAAACTAAGGCAAAATTAGACTGTTTGCGAGTAGAATTTCTTTCAGCAAATACAACCTCGATTCTCCAACCCTGTGATGCAAGAATTATCTATTCTTTTAAGTGTCACTACAAAAGTCTTTTTGTTCAAAACTGGATTAATGTATATAATAATATGCAAAATGGAGTAGTAAATAAAATAGTCCTATACAATATTTATAATGCCATAATGAATGCAGCTGAAGCATGGTCTATGATATCACCAAATACTATTAAAAATTGCTAGCAAAAAACTGGTATTCTTCCATATGATGGCCCCCAAGAACTTATTGAACTTGATCAAGACAGGTAATTAGTAATAGAAAAATTAGAGGTATGAAAGTAATGCTATAACTTGTTATAGTTATTAACTCATTATAATTACAAGTTACAGCATTACATTCACACCTCTATATTTTTAAAGGCTTATACTTATTAATGTGAATTTGTAAAACTTAAAATGTGCACTTATTAATTTTTGACTTTTGATATATCAATAATTACTGCTGTATCATAAAACATTTTTACTAAATAAAAAAAAAATTTTTGAAATCTTTTAGCGACATGGATGATGAATCAAAACTCACAGAACTAATTGGCTGCTTATTAACAGATGATTCTCTTACTGCATATGAATATATCTTTGCTAAGAATGATGAAGTTAAGGGCAGGCTTACCAATGAAAAAATTTTGGAGATTGTTGAAAGCGAAAATAAGGAGGAAAGTAAGGAAGAGAAAGAAGAATTTATTGAACAAGAAAAAGTTAGCTACACGGAAGCAAAACTTTGTGTAAACAAAATACTAAGGTTTTTATATGAACAAGGTCCAAAGTTTGGTGATGTCGACAAAGAATAAAGATTTTAAGAAAATTATACAAACAGGTTCAGTTTAATATTGTAAAAAATCTCAAACAAGTTGATCTCTATCACTATTTTTAGAGTTCCGAATAGATGGTTTTTTTTTTTTTATAGTTATAGAATTGTTTAATACTGTATAGCGTATATATGTAAACACATACGTATGTATGTACATATATTATAGAAGTTGAATTTACCCTACTTGGATATGATAAGCAATCGGTGTGATACAGTTTTTAAAATTTTTAAATTTATTAAATTTATTAATAAATTTCGTTAAATTCATTAAATAAAATAGATTTATATATATAAGTAGCTGATATTTACCTTAAATAAAGTAACCTTCCAGTTAAAATTTCGAAAAGCATAAAGTAAAAGTATCTAAGTAGTAATAGATCTCTTTTGTACTCTGTAATAATGCTTTGCATAAAATAATTGTAATTGTTCATTCCTGTAACCTGTTATTAAAGTAAATAGTTAGCGTTAGTAAGTAAAAAAAAAGATTGTATTAGCAATCAAATCCTTTTTATAGAAAATATAGTGATTACATCAGTAACCACATCCATACTACATAATTCGATTCTGTGATTTCAGCATCCTTCGATGCTGAAATAAGTCACCTGATTTGAAATAAGCAGCATATCTAAAATAAAGCAAAAATATAAAAAAATATAGCAAAATCATTAGTATATGGCAAATATTAAGTGTAAGAAAAGTAAAAAGTAATACTTATCCAAGTACTGGTAATAAAGCTGCAAGGTCTAAAGTCTCTAAATCTAACTACACCTCAATCGAAGCCTACCAATTTGAGATTTTTGGTCTTATTAGATATTATTTTAGTAGAATTAAGTTGTATATTGTACTATATATTAAGTAATATTAAAACTAGGTTATATTTTTACAATATGAGTTTATCAATTTGTATTGTATTGTGCATATTGATATATGCTTTTTATAGAGTTAATATTTATTATTATATGCAGTACTAGAAATAAGATTCTTGATTATATAGATATAATTTTATTGGTTAGCTGTATATTCTGAACAGTTCGATATAGAGAGTGAACTGTATAAAGTGAACTTACTTTATACTGAACAAAATCTTCCAGAACATGCAGTTCAGTATAAAGAGAGTCGATTGTATAACATAATACTTTTACTCATTTAAGGCACAATAACACTTAACTAATATAAACAACTTCAACAAATTCCAAAAAAACTAACTAACAACTTTTTTATCTCTTTATCTAACTCTTTACTCAACTGGTTCAACCTTACTATCTGGCAAACTCATAATATCAAACAACATGAATAGAAATTAGCATAAGAAATTATTATTCTTACTAAAAGGAAAAACAATGTCTGATTACCTATTATACAACCTCCTAACTCCAATAACAATATACTCACATTCAACACCAATATAGACCAATTTATTCTTAAAACTCTTTCTCAAAATTTTATTATATATACCTGTTTTTACTAATTAAAATAATTTTAATAATTCTTTTTACCTTCCTCTATAGTTAATGATTATGATAGTAAATTTAACTAACACAGAAAATTAAAAATTAATATTATGCTAGATATTATTACATTTATATCCAATTGATATATTCATGTATTATTATTTTTCCTACTTGATATTATATAAATAAAAAAATATATATATATATATTTAATGCATTTTTTTATTTAATTATTTACTAAGCAAATTTAATTATTTTTAATTTGTATCAAGTTTATTTAATTGATTTAATATATTAAATACAAATAAAAAATAAATAAAAATAAAAAAAGAAGAAATATTTCTATATAAAAATTTATAAAAGATAAAAAATTTTGAAAATATTTAAATAGTTTCAAATAATCTGTAAAATTTAACAAAAAATATATTAGTAAATAAAACAAAAAAACAAAATAGTTTTATTTAAATATTAAATTTCTGTTTTCTAATTTACTCAAATTTAGATAAAAAAAAGAAAGATTATTTGAAAATTAAAAAAATTAAAAAAAAGTTTTACAATTCATTTTTAATATTTTGATTTTTATCAGATAAATCTAAACTAAATAATAATAAAAATTAGTAATACATTTTAAAATAGATTAAAATATTGTAAAAATATTTGAAAATATACAAATAATGTAAATATAATTAAAAAATTTTAAGAATTATAAAAATATTTTTAAAATACTGCAAATTTTTTTTTTTAAACTTTAACAATAATGTCAGTTAGTTTATTAGCTTTAATTTTGATATAGTACAAATTTATAATTACATTTTTAGGATCAATTATTACTAGTACTATATACTATCTAATTTTATATTACTAACTTAATCCAGTTACCTTTATAGCACCTAATTGCATATCTGCTACATGTTTGCACATAGTTACTTAACAACTACATGCAGTTAGAGTATATTATTAAATTATTATACAGACAAAAATACTTTCAAACTTAATGTAGCATCCCAAATACAAGTAGTATTGTCTTCTGTAAATTATACCTATATGTCTTACTCACATATTTTACCTAGTCTTGTTTCTTCTGCCTTCTAATTTAACTATATCTAGTATTATCTTGTTCTTATATTTCTTATCTTTTTGTTACTATACCACTTTTAAATTGGTTCTACTAGGTATGTCTGATTCCTATAATCTCTCATCTTTGGTATACCTATTATTGATTCTTCTAAAGTGTTCTGACAATGGTTCAGGATCTGCAATAAACCTGTATCTCAAGCCAGACCTGCTATCATCATTGGTCTTTTGACCAAGCTATATTTCAAGCCAGGTTAGCTGCTATCATTTTTGCAGATATCCCAGAGCTTAACATCATATATTAACTTAATACTGCATTTAACTTTCAACATAATGCTCTTTTTTATAATAAAGGCTAAGACTTGTTGCATTTACAAACAGAATAATTCTGGTTATGCCTAAGATGTTTCTTCAATTTCAGTAATATTATACTACTATATATTGCAAGCTTCTAGCTTATTCAATAATATCTGCAAAACAATTTTGGTTATATCCAGAAAGTTACACTAACCCCAGTAATGCTATACTGCCTTGCAGATCTTATCTCATTTTGATTAGTTAATCCTAGTCTTGTTTATAATAGACTTTTATATAGGTATGACCAGAACTCAATTTGGTGCCTTTACATTGTACAAGAAAGTTATATACCAACCTTTAAGTTTTTTTTTTTTATAATTAGATTATTCAGCTGTATCAAAGTTGCTTCTAATTTTGGTTAGACCAATTTTTTATCACAACCTATTCTTGTGTTTACCACTTCTCTTACTATTCTGATTATGATTACTTTCAAACTACACTTTTAATCAAATCCTCTTCTTAGATCCTAATTAGAACTCATTCACACAATCTGTTAATTATTCTTTTAAGCAAGAATATTAGTACTGTCTATATTAGAAGGTATAAGAATGTTGGTACTGCTCTAGTTTAAAAAACTTATATGTGCAATCTTTCTATAACTATAACCTTCTGTAACAACTACTTGTTATATATAGTGCCTACATATTATGATTAGGTCTCTTTTCAGAAATTTTTATTTTCATTATTGCACTGTATTTGAACTTCATTATAGGGCTTTGCATTCAATTACAGGCTCCTTATTAGGCTACAGAAGCTATAGTTGTTAGGTGAAACTGTTTTTTGCAAATGATGAAACATGAAACCTAAATCTGGCAAAACACAAAACTTGGTGAAACTAAGATGAATGGTGAAACCCTTGGTGAATGGTGTAATTCCTGGCACATAGCGAAACTTCTAGCGAATGGTAAAACCCTAAGAGAAAGATGAAGTTCAAGCTCTCAGCAAGTTTAATTTTCTAAGGCTTTGGAAAAGACTGAGCCATATTGATGAATGAAATATATGCATCTATTAAGCATTGCATGCATGCATATAATTTATATAAAATATATGTATATATGCATATAGCTATTAAGCACAACATATGGCTTAGAGGATGTGGTGACCTAGTAAAGTGAATAGGTTGTCAACCTCCAAGTGGCAGGTCTAGAGTTCAAATCCCAGTGACAGCAAAAATTTGCAATTCTTT